AAAGCGGGAGGCGCGGCGACTTCTGCAAGGGCGGGGGCAGCTTCCACAGGTGTGCCACCGGCTTCCAAAAGTCCGCCAGCGACTTCCAAAGGCTGGCGCCAAGCCTGCTAGATTCCGGCCGCTGCAGACTTCCAAATAAAAGCCCGCCGCCGGCTTCCAAGAGTGAGCGAGCCCACCGGCCCGCGACTTTCAGAGGCCCGCCACCGGCTTCCAAAAGTCCGCCAGCGGCTTCCAAAAGCTGGCGCGAAGCTTGCGGGCCGGGGGCGGTCGGATAGGTATCGGCCGGCACAGACTTCCAAACGCCCGCCGCCGACTTCCAGAACCCCGCCACCGGCTTCCAAACGCTGGCGCGAAGCTTGCAGGAGTCCGGCTGGTGCAGAGTTAAGCGCAAAAGGCCCGCCAGCGACTTTCGACCAAAAGTCCGCCAGCGGCTTCCAAAGAATGAAACGCCCAGCAATGGCCCCCAAAACTCCGCCACCGGCTTCCAAAAGGTCGGCGGCTTGGTTGCAGGATTCCGGCTGGCGCAGGCTTGCAAAGGTCTGCGCGCCATCTGCTAGCTTCCAAGGCAAGGCTCGGCGGGCGGCGCCACGGGCCGCCGCGTGCCGGATTTGTTTCTCGCGCAGACTGGCATGGGGCCACGGAGCAAAACAAGGGCCAGAAGCTTCCCGGAATACATACTTACAAAAGGGCGAAGGCGGTGCCCGGTTTCTCGCGCAAGCTGGCACGTGGACACGGAGCAAAGCCGCGGCCAGAAGCTTCCCCGAGTCAACCGGGCGGCGCAAGGCGTTGCCCGGTCGGTGGGGTCTCGCGCGGAAACGGGCACGGAGACACGGACCAAAATCGTGGCCCGAAGCGTCGCGGAATCAACTGGGCGAAGGCGGTGCCCGGTTTCTCGCGCAAACTGGCACGGGGACACTCACGGAGCAGAGCCGCGGCCAGAGCCCCCGCTTCCGCCGCACTGGCACACGGAGCAAAACCGCTCCCCCCCCAGAATTGGGCGGGGGTGGCGCCCGGTTTCTCGCGCAAACTGGCACGGGGACACGGAGCAAAGCCGCGGCCAGAGCCGTAGTTTCCGCCGCATTGGCACACGGAGCAAAGCCGCCCCCTCCCCAGAATTGGGCGAGGGCGGTGCCCGGTTTGCCGCGCAAACTGGCACGGGGACACGGAGCAAAACCGCGGCCAGAGCCGTAGTTTCCGCCGCACTGACTGGCACACGGAGCAAAGCCGCTCCCCCCCCGAATTGGGCGAGGGCGGTGCCCGGTTTCTCGCGCAAACTGGCACGGGGACACGGAGCAAAGCCGCGGCCAGAGCCGTAGTTTCCGCCGCACTGGCACACGGAGCAAAGCCGCTCCCCCCCCAGAATTGGGCGAGGGCGGTGCCCGGTTTCTCGCGCAAACTGGCACGGGGACACGGAGCAAAGCCGCGGCCAGAGCCGTAGTTTCCGCCGCACTGGCACACGGAGCAAAGCCGCTCCCTCCCCAGAATTGGGCGAGGGCGGTGCCCGGTTTCTCGCGCAAACTGGCACGGGGACACGGAGCAAAGCCGCGGCCAGAGCCGTAGTTTCCGCCGCACTGGCACACGGAGCAAAGCCGCTCCCTCCCCAGAATTGGGCGAGGGCGGTGCCCGGTTTCTCGCGCAAACTGGCACGGGGACACGGAGCAAAGCCGCGGCCAGAGCCGTAGTTTCCGCCGCACTGGCACACGGAGCAAAGCCGCTCCCTCCCCAGAATTGGGCGAGGGCGGTGCCCGGTTTCTCGCGCAAACTGGCACGGGGACACGGAGCAAAGCCGCGGCCAGAGCCGTAGTTTCCGCCGCACTGGCACACGGAGCAAAGCCGCTCCCTCCCCAGAATTGGGCGAGGGCGGTGCCCGGTTTCTCGCGCAAACTGGCACGGGGACACGGAGCAAAGCCGCGGCCAGAGCCGTAGTTTCCGCCGCACTGGCACACGGAGCAAAGCCGCTCCCTCCCCAGAATTGGGCGAGGGCGGTGCCCGGTTTCTCGCGCAAACTGGCACGGGGACACGGAGCAAAGCCGCGGCCAGAGCCGTAGTTTCCGCCGCACTGGCACACGGAGCAAAGCCGCTCCCTCCCCAGAATTGGGCGAGGGCGGTGCCCGGTTTCTCGCGCAAACTGGCACGGGGACACGGAGCAAAGCCGCGGCCAGAGCCGTAGTTTCCGCCGCACTGGCACACGGAGCAAAGCCGCTCCCTCCCCAGAATTGGGCGAGGGCGGTGCCCGGTTTCTCGCGCAAACTGGCACGGGGACACGGAGCAAAGCCGCGGCCAGAGCCGTAGTTTCCGCCGCACTGGCACACGGAGCAAAGCCGCTCCCTCCCCAGAATTGGGCGAGGGCGGTGCCCGGTTTCTCGCGCAAACTGGCACGGGGACACGGAGCAAAGCCGCGGCCAGAGCCGTAGTTTCCGCCGCACTGGCACACGGAGCAAAGCCGCTCCCTCCCCAGAATTGGGCGAGGGCGGTGCCCGGTTTCTCGCGCAAACTGGCACGGGGACACGGAGCAAAGCCGCGGCCAGAGCCGTAGTTTCCGCCGCACTGGCACACGGAGCAAAGCCGCTCCCTCCCCAGAATTGGGCGAGGGCGGTGCCCGGTTTCTCGCGCAAACTGGCACGGGGACACGGAGCAAAGCCGCGGCCAGAGCCGTAGTTTCCGCCGCACTGGCACACGGAGCAAAGCCGCTCCCTCCCCAGAATTGGGCGAGGGCGGTGCCCGGTTTCTCGCGCAAACTGGCACGGGGACACGGAGCAAAGCCGCGGCCAGAGCCGTAGTTTCCGCCGCACTGGCACACGGAGCAAAGCCGCTCCCTCCCCAGAATTGGGCGAGGGCGGTGCCCGGTTTCTCGCGCAAACTGGCACGGGGACACGGAGCAAAGCCGCGGCCAGAGCCGTAGTTTCCGCCGCACTGGCACACGGAGCAAAGCCGCTCCCTCCCCAGAATTGGGCGAGGGCGGTGCCCGGTTTCTCGCGCAAACTGGCACGGGGACACGGAGCAAAGCCGCGGCCAGAGCCGTAGTTTCCGCCGCACTGGCACACGGAGCAAAGCCGCTCCCTCCCCAGAATTGGGCGAGGGCGGTGCCCGGTTTCTCGCGCAAACTGGCACGGGGACACGGAGCAAAGCCGCGGCCAGGGCGGTAGTTTCCGCCACACTGGCACACGGAGGGAGCAAAGCCGCTCCCTCCCCAGAATTGGGCGAGGGCGGTGCCCGGTTTCTCGCGCAAACTGGCACGGGGACACGGAGCAAAGCCGCGGCCAGAGCCGCTTCCGCCGCGCCGGCACACGGAGCAAAACCGCTCCCCCCCCCAGAATTGGGCGAGGGCGGTGCCTGGTTTCTCCCGGAAACTGGCATGGGGGTGCACGGCGCAAAAGTGCGGCCCGAAGCTTCGCAGAATCAGCCGGGCGAAGGCGGTGCCTGCCCACTTTCTCGCGCAGACTGGCTTGGGGACACGGGGCAAGGCCGCGGCCTGCGCTTAGTTTCCCAGACTTGGGCGCAGGTGGTGCCCGGTTGGGTTTCTCGCGCCAACTGGCGTGGGCACACGGAGCAAAACCATGGCCAGAGGCTCCCCAGAGTAGGGCGAGGGCGGTGCCCGGCTTCTCGCGCGAACTGGCACGGGGACACGGACCAAAACCGCGGCCCGAAGCTTTGCAGAGAAAGAGTCGAGCGGCCGAAGGCGCTGCCTGCCGGGTGCCCGGTTTCCCGCGGAGACAGACTGGCAGGGGGACACGGACGAGCAGGCTGCCAACGTCTGCCGCCGGCTAGCTTTCAAAAGTCCGCCCGCGCTTCCAGAAGTCCGGGACGGGCCTCGTGGCGTTGGTCGGCGGCTTGCGGGATTCCGGCCGGCGCAGACACCCAAAAGCCCGGCCGCACTGGCCAAAGAAAAGCCGGGCGGCGACTTCCGCAAGGCTGGGGGCCGCTTCCTTCCGCAGGTGTGCCGCCGGCTTTTAGAAGTTAGGCCGCCCGCCAAGCGCTTCTCTCCTGAAGTTCGTTGAAGTAGGGCCGCCAGGCAGCGGCGCCCAATGGCCCGGCGCCGACTTCCAAACGCTTGCCATCAGCTTGCAGGCCGGTGCCGGAGTCCTGCAAGTGGAAGCGAACGCGCCACCCCTCGGGCGCCCATCGGGGCGCCCTATGTGGTAGCCCGCTGGGGATGGCGCGGCACTGGCCATTCCTCTACTTCGCGACGCGCGTCCCCGTTGCGGTTGCGTTCGAATGTCGCGAGGAGCAAGCCCGCCCGGCCTCGGAAACTGCTCCGACCGCCCAATGCCCTCCAAAGATGCAAGGTCTCTGCACGGGGGCCCCAGCCCCCGTGCTCGGACCTTGTTTGTAATGCATGACAGTGATTACAACTACGAGCGCGATACTTTTGCACAGGATATTTTTGAAAACTGCTACTATCCAGAACGACGAAAGAGTAGTGGAGACCCTGGCGAAATTCGCGACCTGCTTTTTGGATTCGGAAAACATCCTGCGGGATGAGGAGGTGAAGCAGTGTATGCTCACGCTGTGGAATACACGATAAAGATGTTGGACGCTGCTAGTGCTAGAAGACGATTTTTGTGTGGAGTCGAACAACATGACACGCACACGACGGCAGGTAGAAGTGAATCAGTTTCTTCCCTGTCGTCGTACCCGACCAGGCTTTGAATTTGAAGTTCATTTTGCTAGAAGTCTATCTAATCATGAAGAGCATCTCTTGGTGACAAGCATGGTGAGCAGCTTCTTCTTGCTCCTCTCGGAAGGACAAAATGTCCTCGCGATTCTTCACCCCCAACGTGTAGTTCTGGAAATTTTTCTTTTCTGTGGGGACAAGTATGAGTAAGACCGAGGTCGCTACGTCAATAGGATGAATGCAAAGAGTGCAGTCGTGAAGAAGTGACTACTTCTTACCTCTGTGTGGGCGGTTTGGAGCGAAGATGTGATGTTGAAAGAGTGGCTCTTGGGAACAACCTTGGGTTAAGTAAGTACACAAAACTGAACGTGAGCGAGAGCTGCGCAGCTTCGGTAGACTTAGAGAGTGGGCAGAATGACAAGTGATGATGTAGGCTCGCGATAAAGAAAAGATGTCGCTAGTAAAACTACCCTCATTTTCTCGGCCCTCTTCTGCCCGTCGCGACCTGCTCTTCTGGGTGGAGGGGCCCGTGCAGTTTTCGCATGCAGATCCTGAACGACAGCATCAAATCGGCAGAACTACTACCACCCCCACCGAGGCGGGACGGCCCAGCACGTCGCAGCATACCAAGAATACCAGTCTGACCTCCTGGCGTGACAGAGTGATCGCTTCTATCGAGGAAAAGCACTACAAGAAATCATCGCAGGAGAAAGTCCGCGTCGTGGTGATTTCGCCCTGGACAGAATCCACGGACGCGAAATGGCGACGGTACGCGCAGAACATCGCTTTTCAACACTTTCTGCCGATAGGACAGAAAGAGGACTACGTAGTTGGAGGTGAAGAAGACGTAGAACCTGAACCCAAGATCGAAGGTGACATTCGAGTGTTGCCCATCCTGAATCACATCCACGATCTGCAATCCGTGGGAGCTAGTACGACAGGAGACGAGAGCAGGAATCTTTTTGCGGAATTACAGAAAAGAGGCGAAGGTGGTCCTAACACCGAGTCGGACGCGGGCGGGGCCACTGGAAGATCGCAACTACGCAACCAAAGTTGTGCTACCGATACGGAAAGTAGCGGTGTAGCGGAAAACGAGGAAATCAACTTTTGGAACTTCATCAAGTTTTTGAAAGAAGAACTCCCCCGGGCGCTCGCAGCGCGGACGACAGCCGCGACAGGTTGTGATGGAGCTCTACAAGAGCCTGCTTTTTTCAGCAAGACGGCGTTCTTGATCCAGCCTTGCCGTGCACCAGATAAAAACGTCGATTACGCTCCCGCCATGGACTACGGTGCAGTCCGATATCTCACCGAAGATTTCTTTGCCGCCAACAGGGACGCAGTGGTTTTGGACGGAGATGACGCCACCGCTGCTGGTAGTCCTACTGCAAGATTATGGAAGAGCTGCAGCATGACAGATTCTTTCGCACGCCCGGGAGACACCGTCGTCCACCAATCTCTTGGCAGCCTCGAGCGGAGCCTCAAGTTCGTATTGAATTTGTCTGGCTTCGTATCTCCAGAAAAAAACTGTGTATAGTTAGTGTAAATCTGTGATGCAGAAAATGCAAAACAGTCACACTTGTCATGCTGGAAGTGCGTCATAGACTACCATCATACGTGTTTTCACTTACTTGCTGCGCATGACAGGTTTTCCCTGTAATGCAAAACGAATTTGTGATGCTGCTCTTCCTACAAAGTTACACTTACACAGCTTTTTTCCTGGATACTTTGGCTTGTTTTTTCTCGCGGTAGTGCATGAGCATGAGATGTTGATCGTGTTGGGAGAATTTTTGCAAGAACCAACTCTCATCAGCATTTGTTTCATGTTCATCTGGGGAGCTATCTGAAGCATTAAGCGTGAAAAATAGAAATTCATCGTGAAAAAAATAAAACATCAAGGCTCATTACCTCGCCGCGCATTTTCCGGATTTTTTCCTCCGCAGCAGGCACAACTTCCACGAACACTCACCTCCTCCACGTGTTTCCCCTTGGGCTATCGCGGGAAGAAGCTGTCTCAGTCTCAACTTCTTGGAATGCTACGACCAGCTCGTTGATGAGTGATCACTACAGCAGGCAAAAAATGGTGCGTGTTTTCTCTTCCTCTTGCTTTTCGAAGCATGACAGATTTTGTATGCCATGCTGAGCGAGTATGAGTTTGTATTGCAGAGAAGTCTGCAACTTAGATTTGTTGAGATTGAAACTACAGTTTTTCCATCCGATACATGCATCAGCAAGACCAATCGCTCCAAGCCGTCGTCGCTGCGCCTAAGGATTTCTACAATTTTGAAAAGAACGAGTTGCTGATGAACGAACGAGTTAGCTCGGGCGCGTTCCCCCCGCAGAAGCCTCCCGCAAATCATGGTTGGGCGATGAGGGAGTACGAACGGATATGTCAGACAAAATCGCATAGCATATCATATTTGTTTGGCATTTACCGTGATTAGCTGCAAGCACAGGTCCATTTGCAAGCCATTTGCGTCCATTTGCATTTAGCCCAAATGGCGCCATACCATGCGGAAGTATTTTTTTCTGCAAATTTGTTTCAATTTTACAAAAAAAACGGCTTTCGCTGTAAAACGTAAACTATCATTGTGCTTTGGGTTTTTCTCCGTCTTGCAAATGGATGCAAATGGTCCTAGCATGGGGATTGCTATTTAGCCGGAATCTGGAACGTCTTTTTGAAAAAAAAAGTTTGCTTGGGGTTTTTTCCAGATTCTCATGGGGATTAGCTGCAAACGCAGGCCCATTTGCAAGCCAGTTGCGTCCATTTGCATGTCGTGCAAATGGTGCCATAGCATGCAGAAGTATTTTTTTCTGCAAATCTGTTGCAATTTTGCAAAGTCAGCAGTTTTCTTTCTAAAACACAGACTCCCGCGGTGTTTTGGGTTTTTCTGCGTCTTGCAAATGGATGCAAATGGCTTACAAATGGACACCTTTTCCTTGGTCCTAGCATGGGGATTGCTATTTAGCCGGAATCTGGAACGTCTTTTTGAAAAAAAAAGTTTGCTTTGGGTTTTTTCCAGATTCTCATGGGGATTAGCTGCAAACGCAGGCCCATTTGCAAGCCATTTGCGTCCATTTGCATGTCGCGCAAATGGTGTCATAGCATGGAGAAGTATTTTTTTCTGCAAATCTGTTGCAATTTTGCAAAATCAGCAGTTTTCTCTGTAAAACACAGACTCTCGCGGTGTTTTGGGTTTTTCTCCGTCTTACAAATGGATGCAAATGGCTTACAAATGGACACCTTTTCCTTGGTCATAGCATGGGGATTGCTATTTAGCCGGAATCTGGGAGGTCTTTTTGCCAAAAAAAGTTTGCTTTGGGTTTTTTCCAGATTCTCATGGGGATTAGCTGCAAACACAGGTCCACTTGCAAGCCATTTGCGTCCATTTGCATGTCGTGCAAATGGTGCCCTAGCATGCAGAAGTATTTTTTTCTGCAAATCTGTTGCAATTTTGCAAAGTCTGCAGTTTTCTCTCTAAAACACAGACTCCCGTGGTGTTTTGGGTTTTTCTGCGTCTTACAAATGGATGCAAATGGCTTACAAATGGACACCTTTTCCTTGGTCATAGCATGGGGATTACTATTTAGTCGGAATCTGGGACGTTTTTTTGACAAAAAAAGTTTGCTTTGGGTTTTTTCCAGATCCTCATGGTGATTAGCTGCAAACACAGGTCCATTTGCAAGCCATTTGCGTCCATTTGCATGGCGCCCAAACAGCGCCATAGCGTGCAGAAGTAATTTTTTTCTGCAAATCTGTTGCAATTTTGTAAAAGCAGCATTTGTCTCATGTAAAGCACAGACAATCATGGTGTTTTGGGTTTTTCTCCGTCTTGCAAATGGATGCAAATGGCTTACAAATGGACACCTTTTCCTTGGCCATAGCATGGGGATTCCTATTTTTCCCGAGTTTAAAGTGTTTTCTCGACAGAACAAGTTGTCTCTTGCTCCGCTTTTCCTCTTTATTGCATTGCAAACGAAATATGGTATGCTAGCTCCTTTCTGCAGGATACTGGAAGCAGAAGGAAATGAAGGGAATCGTGGAAGAACCGTTGAAAAAAACCGTGCCGAGCTGGGTCTACGAGCTAACTGGAACTAAACCTCCTCCGGACGAGGAGGAGGTTCTTTCATCGCCTGATAACAAAGGTGCTTTCCCGTCCATTGCAGGTAGTGCGATCTCTTCATCTACCGGTCGGGGTGGAACAAGTACCAACGCTTCGAAGACGAGAGCAGGGTCTACTTACCATAATTCATTCTCACCCCCACCCCCACCCGGAACCGGATCAACATCTCCTACAAGAACCAGAAAGGCGCGCGAGCCGGGCATGCTGCTGGTGCACGAGGCGTTTCCGCAAGATTACCAGAGGAAAAAGGTCGAGCTGAAGCCGCGGAAAGACGTGATTCCCGTGTTTAGGAAGAAGGCGAAGGAGCTGGCGAAGATAAAGTCGGACTTTGTATCAAATGTAAAAATGTCTGGGTCTGGAAGAATTCATGTTTGTCATGCTTGTCTGGCATGACTCTCAAATCTGTCATGCACGTTACCCAAGAGCGGCGCTTTTCTGTGATGCAGAAGCGCAGTTTGTCATGCAGAATAGGCAACACCTAGGAGCTCAGAAACCTGTCATGCTGAGCCAGCATTTGTAGCCTCATCATGAGACGCCACCCGGCATCACAAGTTTCCAGACCCAGACATTTTTCCTTTTGATACTTTGAGCTGGAAAACGAGAAAAGGGCGAAGTTTTTGAAGCAGAAAAAAAAGCTGCTGGACAAATTGGGGTTGGAATTGGTGTTGGAAGGAGCAGATAAGAAGAATAAACTGACATCAGGAAGTAGTACGTCGGGACACAATCCGATGAAGAGATCTAGTACTCTTACCACCGCTGGTGTGGACCACGAGGATCAGCATTTGTTCAATAATATGGCTAGCACATCAAATGTGTCTATCGCAGGAGCGGGCACCGAAGATGAAATCGGAGTCGCAGTAACAGCCGGTGGTCGTCGTGACGAACAAGCAGTGCACGAAATTACAGAAGACCCGCAACGCCAAAGAATTCTTCGTGATCATGCGGGAAAAATTTCATCGGTCGGCGCAGCGGCAAAAAGGGAACTCGAAACGTCGGGGAAAAATAAACTAACGGCGCAGGAGCCGCAAGAATCAAGAAGATCATCACCTCCTCCACCTGCTTCTCCTTCCTACACCCTATCAAATGTAAAAATGTCTGGGTCTGGAATGTTGCCGGGTTTGTCATGCATATTTTGCAAGACCCAGGATGTCTGTAATGCATGACCTAGCATCGCAGATTTTTAGAGAGCTTCCTGATGCCTAATCCGCATGGCAAATGTCCTCCATGCGTAGCACAAACTGGGCTCCTCTTGCTGGTCATGCAATACAGATTTTTTTGGAGTCCGAAGTTAGCATCACAAGTTCCAACCTTCAAGACCCAGACATTTTTGCATTTGATACACCCCGAAAAAGACCCATTTGACGACCGACGACCGCATCACCGAGATTTTCCAGACCGTTCTGTGCAAGAAGCAACTCGACAAGACGAAGGGAAATTTTTACCGCTCCGATTCCCGGGTGGGGACCTGGAAGGAGCTACAGCCGGGCGATGAAGCTGCGCCGTTGAAAATTCTGCCCACCGCTTCGGAGATGAAAGCGACTGCTGCGAATAAGCGGAGCCAGTCTCCCGTCGTTGGGAAGAAATCGGACACAGAATATCTAGGAAAAAACACGACCCATCCGCAGCATTCACTTTGTCATCCAAGACATGCATCACATTCAAAATCAAAACCAGTCTGTCATGCAAAAAATTGATGGGAGTTATGAGTTTTTTCTGGGGATACAGAAACCACGGAAGACTTGAAGAAGTTTTTTGAGAAGAACTACGAGCAACGGCCCTTCCCGATGGTGCAGGGGGCGATTTCGGGGATTGATGAGAATTACGATTTTGACACTGCAGTGGCAGTTGACTCCGGTTTTGGCATAGAGGATGAGTTGTCGGATTCGGGAGATGAACAAGATGCTGGTCGATCAAACAGTAAAAGTAAACGCGAAGGCGAACCTGCAAAAACGAGAACCACAACCAGAACCATATCAAATGTAAAAATGTCTGGGTCTGGAAGATTGCGAGATTTGTCATGCATATTTCGGATCACGCAAATAGCCTCTGATGCAGGTAAAAGCATCACAGGTTTTGAGCACGCCTCGTGATGCCTTTCCCGCATGAGAAACTCGCTACTTGCGTGCCAAGAAATGGACAGCTTTTGGCGCTCATGCAACACAAATTTTTGTGGGTTCCAGAGTTTGCATCACAAGTCCCAACCCTTCCAGACCCAGACATTTTTACATTTGATAAACCACTCAAAAGAACAACAGCTTGATGAAGACCCCATTCAAGATCCTTATAACCCGCTCAGGTGTTTTTACAATCTCAAACGCTACAATAGAATCTGAGAGTTGTGATCTTGCATGATGAGCATGACACACTCGCAGAGCGTTCCACTTCCTGCAATACAAATTGCGCCAGATGATTGTAGTGGGGTTTGGGGCTGCGGAGCTTGTCATGCGCAACCCTATGAGAGTTGGCTAGATCATGCACTCTTGCATCACAGATTTCCATATTCTATTCGTAACGTTTGAGATTGTAACAGCTGAGCGCGTTATAATCCTGGAGACGGCTTTTTACCCCCGCGTCTCCGAGGGCTCCGTCCGACTGGTGATGGTCGGGAAAAGTTTCTGCGGGCTGGTATTGTTGCGGCGGCGGAACTATCCTGTGCAAAAGTATCGTACTCGTATAAATGCATTAATACAAATTTCCTCAGCGTGAGAAATAAAATTTGTAATGCAGATTTGCCTTGGAAACAAGATTTGTAATGCAAGACTTGCATTAGCATTTGTACGAGTACGATACTTTTGCACTTGATAGGAACGTGTTGCTTCGAGAATTGAAGACCGAAGAGGGGGTATGAACTGCAAAAGCATCGTACTCGTATTGCAATCATGCATTACAAATCCTCTCACTAAGGTAAATCCGCATTACAAATTTGATTTCTCATTCTGAGAAAATTTGTAATGCATTGATACGAGTACGATACAATACTTTTGCAGTGCATACAGGGAGAAAGATTGGGAAATCGTGTGGCGTTTGTTTTCGCAGCACGAGCAGGAAGTAAATCTGGATCTTCACGGTTCTGGGCGTGGTCAACAACATCAATACACGCAAGGAGCCGCAGTGAAAACTACAGTTGCCACAGAAATAAAACGGCTAGATGACACATCCTCGTCCTACATGACAGAAAATCTGCAGCAGCATTACAACTGGAAACTGCAGCGAGAATTGCAGGAACTACGACAAGCTTTCGTGCTGGATTGCAAGACAGGAAGGGTCCGACTGCGGTCGGGAGGAACGACAAGTGCTAGTCCTGCTCGCGAGGAGGAGTACAACTATGACATCAACGACCAAAGTAGAGAAGTATCAAATGCAAAAATGTCTGGGTCTGGAAGATTTTGAGATTTGTCATGCTTGTCTGTCATGACTCAAGAATCTGTGATGCATGGGCACGAAGCGGCCCTCTTTTCTGTCATGCAAACACGCAGTTTGCAATGCGGAGCACGCAACACATAGGAGCCCAAAAAATTTGTCATGCTTGGCTCCGTATTGCAGTGGAACTCTCGTTCACTTTTAGCATCACAAGTTTCCACCAGACACAGACACTTTTACATTTGATAAGAAGTACTAGATGGAGGTCTACTTCAAGTAGAGGACTCTGCTGTAGTACAAGAAGTGCACCAGAGGAGAACTACACCAAAGCAGGGAGCAGAGGAATGCAGCAACTGCAAAAACAGAAATACAACATCAATAACAAACGCCGCCTTCCCCCTGATCTGGACCGCCGATTTTCTGAGATGAAAAGAGAGGGTGCGACTACTCTTGTTAGTCATGCAACACAGATTTCATAGGAATGATGTAAGACCAGCAATACAAGTTCCAACCTTCCAGACCCAGACATTTTTGCAGTTCATAACCTCTATCCATGAAACCTTTCGTCGCGACATCGTGGGCATCGCAGCCGAGTTGCTGTATCAAACAAAAAAAGTTCGTCACGTCGATCACTCATGCGCATTTTTGCAATAAGTACAAAATTGGCTGTCATGCGTAAAAATGCATGACAGCCAAGCTTCATAGGGGATTTCCCTAGTGTTTCTGCAATACAAGGAAAACTTGTGATGCTAAAAAAATTTGTAATGCAAAACCTGCAAGTTAGTGACTGTGACAAACTTTTTTCTTTCCATATGCTGGCCAACACGATTAGTAACAACTTAGTCGACCAGGTCTTTGTGGAGGAGATTGAAACCAGTCTGTCACCCACTATCCAGGAAAACACCCATCCACATCCAATTTGTCATGCAAAACATACATAACATCCCGCGTCTGTCATGCATAAAATGTCAAGCAGCAACTGCAAAAACAGAAATACAACATCAATAACAAACGCCGCCTTCCCCCTGATCTGGACCGCCGATTTTCTGCGGGACCACCACTGGCAGCGGCAGACAACCACCAATCAAGGTGAATACGAAGACTACGGCGTGAACAAAGCACCCCCGGCTCTTCCGCGCCGCGGCGGGATATACGACCATGAGAATGCGGTAGACGCGGACGCTGTTGTGAACGACAGTAATGGTAATGATGTGCAGGTTATGCAATGTAAATTTCCCGTACATGTACAAAATGCATGACAAATTTCATTAACTTGGAGTGTCCAACTTGTCATGCTAGACTGGGACTGAAGGCAAGTTTTGTCATGCAGAGATTGCATTTGTACGTGTACGGGAGATTTACTGTGGATACAGGTACGGAAGAAGTGGGTCTTGGTGAAGGTGAATTTCATATGAACTGCAAAAGTATCGTACTAGTATAAATTGCATCACAAATTCACTTAGCATTACTACAAATCAAATTTGTAATGCGGCTTTGCCTTAGTAAAGAGATTTGTAATGCATAAACGCAATTAGTACGAGTGCGATACTTTTGCACAGGATACTTCACCCCGGATTTGAGGAAAATCTTGGATTTGGTGGATATTGACGAAGAGGCTTGGAGTGGAGGTGATGGTGATGATCCTGCTTCTATTTCTACAGCGAGGAGGTTTTCATCTCGTCGTAGTGAAATTTCAGCTGAATTTTTCGCGCGAATAGTCTGTGAATGTGGCCTATCAACTGTAAAAATGTCTGGGTCTGGAAACTTGTGATGCTGGGTGGAGTATCATGAGGAGGCCACAAGTGCTGGCTCAGCATGACAAGTTTCTGAGCTTCTATATGATGCCTATTCTGCATGACAAACTGCGTTTTTGCATGACAGAAAAGTGGGGCTCTTGAGTAACGTGCATGACAGATTTAAGAGTCATGCCAGACAAGCATGACAAACTTGCATTTTTCCAGACCCAGACATTTTTACAGTTGATATGGCCTGGTCGTGTAGAAGAACGAAGAGGAAGAAGAACAAGAACATCACAAACTAACTTTTACGAACACGGTTTAGTATAGAGGTGGTCGACCTGGAAATCAACTTCTTGCTGTCCCTGGGTAACAAGAAGTGTTGACATGCTCCAACAAGTCGGTTCCCCTCGTCGCCTTGCGTTCTTTATGCGCTCTTTAGCGCAAGCGCTTTCGTTGATTCTGATTGCAATATGTACTCGGTTGTAGAAGTTCATCTTGGAAGACGTTCGGCACCCCTTTACCTTCGATTCGTGGGAAAAAATCATAGATCGGTTTTAATTTGATGATTCGTTTTCACGTGGTGTGAGGAAAATAGCGCCTTCGGCTTCGGTTGACAGACGATGAGATGCGTTGATATCGTGTATTACACCTCGGTGGCAGCTTCATCCATTTCGGTCCGGACTTAGCTGCGCGTGTTGTCGTACTATCTTTGATCATTCGGTTTTACATACGTCGAAAGCTGACATTTCTTTCGGTCAGTCGTCCTCTGTTGATGCTGTGCGAAACGTTTTGTTGTTGATCGGTACTTCAGTGTACTCGTACTTGATAAAAAGGATCGGTCTTTTCCCGTGGACATTGTCTCCGCTTCGGTAGCACCATACTTACTGGTTCTGCGTCGTTCTCGTTGTGCCTAATTGTTTATTCTCGTATAATTAGAAGTAGAATTATTAATTACCGTTACGTAGTGTGCGGCATTGATAGCAAAATGGAAATGCATAGAATAGTTCTTACAAGAGATGTTTGTGATTCGCCCCGTTTTCGGAATAAAAACTGCAGTGCGGAAGTGAAGGATTCTAAAAAAATCCCTTCCCCTCTTCCCTACTTCACGACTTTTTACTGATTTTCGAAAGTACTTTATTCTCTTTATCTGAAACGAAATCGAACCCAAGTTGTAAAATTATTGTACTACCCCCGCCCGTGTCCCTGAAGCGAAATTGAAGCAAACTAAGGAAAAATTGCAGCATCACCACGACCACGGGTGCACGTCGAACTAGTTCTACCTCGTCCTCCTCGAAGATCCCACAGGGGGCGGGCAAGAAAAAACTAGAGCGCTTTACTACTCCACCCGGGAGCAGGTAGTCCTTGTCAATGAAACCTTCAAAGATGAACATGCTGCTGTTCTTGCTGAACGGCTGGTGGATGTTCACAAGCATTTTTCATCAATTATGGCGTTCTCAATTGTTACATTCTCAACTGTTACATGAATTTGTGATGCAAGAACTGCAAAAGTGAAAGGGGGGAGGTTGCACCTCTAGCATTACAAGTTCTGCACAGATTTAGGTGCTGTTTAGCTCTTCGCAAATTTGTCATGCGAAGCAGCTTCCTCGTGTGGATCTTGATGGTAGTTCTGCATGACAAATTCATGTAACAGTTGGGAATGTAACGTTTGAGAACGCCATATCAACTCCCGCTCACTTTGTGGTTCTTCGTCGAGGCACGGTTTGTGGAGTTGAAAACTGGAGGCGAAGCGGGAGATCATGACGCCGGCATGACTGGTGAAGCTGTTGCTGGCGAGGTGGACGGCGTCGAGGTCAACAATGCAGCGACGAGCACTTCCCCTGGAGGTGCCGTGAAAACAAACGAAAACTACGGAAAGAAACTGAATTTCCTGGAATTGGACACGAACGCGGAGTTTTTGGAAGTACAGCCGGGAAAAATTTCGCAGGAAGATGAAGATGTTGATCAACCGCGCCGCGTCGAAGATGAAGTGGATGTTGAATCCGGATCCGGCTCTTCTTCTTCCTCTGCTTCGTCCTCCCGATTGCTTCACCCACAAAAATCCGCTGGTTTCTTGGCGGCGCGCGCGCAGGCAGCCGATGGTGCAGGGGTCATGAACATGATCGCGTCGTCGTCTTCGTCAACATCCCGGATGGAGATGGTAGGGTTCTTGCAAAAAGAAACCTCTTCACAAGAACTACGAAGTGCGGGAACCACTGAAGACAACATCCAGCAGGAGGGGCAAGCCGGAGAAGAGGACGGCCACATGTTGGATTACAACAACGTTCGCCCAGATGATGCTGTTGCTACTGGTGCACGAGCCGCAGCCGTCACGACTGAAGATGATCATTTTCTTCATCACGGGACCACGTCGATGGAAACAAAAACGGGCCAGAATTTCCTGGAAAAGAAGAAGGTGACCGCGCGTCCCCCCATCGACGCCACGGTGCTGCAAGGCCAGCTGAGCAAAATTCCCCCGCGGACCTGCGAGGTTCCAACACCGTGCGGGGCCGCTCGAAAGGAGCAGTTCGAGGGGTGGGCGCGACAAGGAACATCCCGTGCGCGGAGAAATTCTGCGAAGACTACACAGCTCAAAAAGCCCATGGCAGGGACGGGTCAGGCCGAGAAAGAGGTCACCATTTACCGCAGCACGGATGGCACAACGGGCACTCCGAAGCAAATATGGATTGCAAACATGTCTGGGTCTGGAAACTTGTATTGCTAAAAGTGAATGGTACACGCACTGGAATACGCAGCTATGCATGTCAATTTTTTTGGCTTGTTCCATGTGTTACGTATGCCCCATGGCAAGCTGCGTTTTTGCATGACAGGGAAGAGGGCCCCCGTTTCGTGCCTCTGCAACACAGTTTCTCGAGTCATGCCAGACAAGCATGACAAACTTGCATTCGTCCAGACCCTCCAGACATATTTGCAATTCATAGAAAAGCAGTGCAGACAAAAAGATCTGGGACGTACGGCTGCAAGCGCTGGACGAAGCGGATCCGCTCAAGGAGCAGGAAAAACTGGTGGAGTTCGTGGAACTTGTTCGGGAAGACGCAACTGCAGCAACATCCCTGCCGCAAGTGCCTCGGGCAAACACTATTGACAGCGCGGGGGATTATGTTTCTGTTGAAAAAGCGAAAGGCAAGCGCAAGCGTGCCCGGGACCTGGCCTTTCCGAACATGTTTTTGCTGGACGACGACCCTGCGAAGCAGAGTAACGCGGGCGTGCGAAACGCAGTGCAAAGCTCGAAAATCGTCCGCATCCGGGATATGTGGAAGTCGAACCAGCAGAATTTTGTGCCAGGCGGGACGCCGGTTCCGCCCGAGAGCATCCTGCAGGGCCCGCTGGGCCACTGCTACTTCATGGCGGCGCTGCAGAACCTGGCGAACCAGGGGCTGCTCCTGGAGCCGGAGAAGGTGTCCCCCTCGGGCCTGTGGCTCGTGCCCCTCTACATCCGGTCGAAGTGGGAGTTCATCCTCGTGGATGACCACCTGCCCACCGTTGGCGGCCAGGTCAGCGGCGTCGATACCCCGGACGACGTGTGCTATTGCGGCTACCGACCCTACTTCACCTTCCTGGACCCTGAGGACGGGTCCCGGGCGGCGTCGTCCATCAGCTTATCAAATGCAAATATGTCTGGGTCTGGAAGGAAGCGAACTTGTGATGCGCATTTCACAACACACACAAATCTCTCAAGCAGAGGCAGCAAGAGACGCTCACTTTCTGTCACCAAAATGGGGGATTTGTCATGCGGATTAGGCAACGCGGAAACTTGAGCTTCTCAAAATCCGTGATGCTAGGGCTTCCATGACAGAAATTGTGTGTCACGCAAAAACAGCATGACAAAAATCTGCATTCCTCCAGACCCAGACATATTTGCAATGCATACAGTTCCGGGGGCGCCGACCAGGTGTTTGGGATCAAGAAGGAAGTGGCACAAGAAGAACCTGTGGCCGGCGGCGGTTCAACCGATTTGATGACGAAAGGACGATCCCATGATCAACCTGCGCAGCAGGGCACTACGATGCAGATCTCGATCACGGTCGAGCTCATCATCAAGGCCGTTGCCAAGGTGATGGGTGTATCAAATGCAAAAGTGTCAGGGTCTGCAAGAATGCAACTTGTGATGCTGCATTTGGATGGCTAAAAAATTTGTATTGCATAAGAAGCAAGAGGATTCTGATTTTTGCTACGCGGGGAGGGCATTTGTCATGCGGAATAGGCATCAAGAATCCCTCAAAGAACCTGTGATGCTAGGGCATGCATCACAGACATCATGGCTCATGCAAACTGTGCATGACAAGTCTCAGTCTCAGAATCTTCCAGACCCAGACACTTTTACACTTGATAGGGCGGCTACTTTGCGTTGGAGGCCGGGATCACGCCCTTTGCGGTGCGCGCGGTTATCAAATGCAAAGATGTGTGGGTCTGGAAGAATGGAAGTTTTGTCATGCATATTTTGAATAGCCGACGATGCGTGTGATGCATGCTCTAGCATCACAGGTTCATAATTTGTGCGGCCTTCATCTTAATGCCGTCGTCGCCTTGTAATGTTATCCTGCATGAGCAGAAATGCGAATGCCGTCGCCGCGCAGCAAAAACTGGACTGCCCGCCCTGCTGTTCATGCAATACAGATTTTTTTAGCATCCGAAGGCAGCATGACAAGTTTCTTCCAGGAGACCCAGACATATTTGCAGTGGATAGCGGTGGCGGGGGGACAGTCCTTTTTCAAGTACTGGACCATCCAGTGCACGAGCGCCAACTCGTATGCGAGAAAAAAACTATGTGAGTGTAAATCTGTGATGCAGAACATGCAACCGAGTTCGACCTGTCATGCCAGGCAGCCATGAAGTCCTCTGTTCAGGTGTGTTTTCCCTTACCAGCCACCCATGACAGGTTTTCTCTGTCATGTAGAGCAAATTTGTGATGCTGTCAGCCAAAGATAGCATACACTAGCACAGTTTTTTTCTTGGATAACTCCTATCGCAGGAAAACGAAATATTTTTAGAACTTCGTTTGTTCTTCTCTCTGTGACAACTCTGCAACATGCATGACAAGTAGCGAAACAAAAACTGACAGGTATTTTTTCCTTGGACTGAGACTTTGACTTGCAGTCTAGCCTCGTCCTTAGTGCATTATAGCGACGTGTTTTATTGATTTAAGTATCACGTACACGTACTTCACTCTCGGTCTCGCGCACCATATGCTTAGAGCCAGACGCCCTTTCCGACATAATTGCAGGAGCCAGATTAAGATTTGCGTCCTACTACTTGAATGCTGGCACTCCAGGTAGAACGATAGAGTAGACAAAAGAACACACACAACATTTTGTCTCTTGCATAACTCCGCTAGTTGCCCGGCCAAGTACAATGGGCGTGGGGTGGCCACCCCGGAGGTGTCCAAAGCACTCTTTCTGATGAGCGAGGAGAGTCTCACGGGGCTCCCCACGCACAAGATGGGCGCGAATGGCCAGGTTTCGCTGCAGAGCGCGGTCACTTATGTGCCCGAGTACCAGAAGAACACCGACAGTGTGAAGGTGTTGTCACCGGACCCAAATTATCCAGTGGAAATAACGTATCGGATCTGCACGCTCGAAAGGGTTTTTGCAATGGTGAACACTCTGTTATGAAAAAAGTTTTCAGCTTGCTGAGAAAATGGAAAGCAAAGGTCTTCTAATTTTCCTCTAGCCATCTTTCACATCTTCTGACGAGTTGTAATTTGTAGGATGATAGCAATAGCTCACGGCTTCCAATTTGCATGCAGCTTCGGGAAGAACTTTAACTTTAGTCGGGCCGGGAATTTGAGAAGTTCTTTCTCGCTAAGTAAGAAGAAAATCGTCGCGTGCTGGCTCTTCGATACTTATTTGTAGTGCATACACACCAGTGCGAGCTGTTTTACGATCCGAAGGCGGACGTTTCGAAGTGGCAGGGCATGAAGGCCCTGAAGGAGTGGAAACGGTTTTCCGGCGACGCCAGCTTCAAATTGGTCGTCACGTCCGGCAGGAAGCAAACCGGTGAGGACGAGGAAGCGGAATCTTTTCTCACGGAACCACTGCCATTGCCATCGGACTGCGCCGGCCAGGAGCAGGAGGTGAAAGGCCACGATGAGCCCGAGTCCGCCTCTATGTGCGAGAAGCTGTGCTACGCCAAGGATTCCTGTACGGACTACTTGTTCGCACGGTTGGGTCAGCCCAGCGCCCTCGGGCGGACGAATGTGTGTTTGGCGTTCAGTTCGAAGGACAAGGCCAGTATTCCAAGGGGGAACGAGGCGCTGCTTGCAAAAGTGGTAGCCGAACGCAGTCCATATCGCTGGAAATGGCTTGTTGTCTACGGGTTAGCAAGGACTAAAGTTGTGTTTATTCGCCTGTAGAAGTGCTCTCACGGTCACGATCCAACACAATCGCCGCCAGCGTAACACTGCAAGATGACATTGATCAGGCGCGGCAGTTGTCGGCTTGGCTGTCCTTTAATGTGCAGGTCCAGTAAATTTTCCAATCCTTGCAGCTGTTACTAATTCATATTGTGTGTAGGCCCGTGGCGCCTGTTCGGCTACAACTGGTTTGTTGTACTTGCCTATGACTATGACTATGAGTTGATGTGCCGTGTCTCACTCCCACCCTGACGCAAGTTTGGTTCCTGCTGACTCGGGGGGTTTTTCGGTGTATCAATTTCTTGCGGGATTTTCTGATTGGAAGGAAAATTTCGGCGAGAAGGTGTACAAGGAATTCGTCCGGGGCTGCCTTGCAAGCCTCACACAGCTACCGAAAGAAACGGCGCCTGCTCGAGAAGCGACTTCAAGACGTTTGTTTGAGAGGTCGTGGTATTTTTTTTGCTGTCCGCCATAAGATTTAATTATGCTTTTATCTCTCTGAAGGTTTCTTCTCTCCAAGCAGAACCATTTTGCATCGACCTGCGTATTCGTGAACGCTAGAAACGAAAGTGAATGTTTTCAAGAAGCAAGGAGCAGAACACACCACCTACTCTGGAAGTAGCATAATACCAACACGTACGCTGAATAATGCTTGTTCGGCGCGTAATTTCTTTCTGATAGCAGCAGACGCCCCCTCTCTCTCTGCAATCGCCGCTGAAAAATACGCAAATGGACCAGATCCGAGAACTCACCTTCGGCAGTCGGGGCCTGTGGTTCTTTGTGTCGCACTTTGACTTTGCAACCGACGTGGCGGCGAACCTGGCAGAGATTTTGAACAGCACTCCTTTTCTCGCGAACGGGAAGGCCCAAGCGTTTTCCCTACTGCCACCGCAGTCTCTCGCGGTCAAGCAATTGATGACCACCCCGCCGACTTCGGCTCCTGGAAGCGCAGCACAAGGGCCACTGGACGCCGCCGCTCTCCAAGAGGTGTTTACCGAGTACGCTGTGGCGACGGAACGCAGCGCACTTTTTCAATACGAGAAGGCCATGACCTTTCTGTTTCGGGACGTTTTGGGAGGCAACTTCGACGTGCGGCACCCACCCAACCTCAAGGAGCTGCCCCTATCAACATAACGAAAAGCGCACCAGCCCCAAAAATGCTTGACAGCGTTTGTATTCGTAAAAGCTGATCATATGTCGTCGTGGTCCTATCACTGGGAACACTTGCATGTAGGTAACAGCATGACAGATTTTCGCCCCAGAATAGCGACAATCAAAGTTGCAAAAGGGCCCAATACAGGTGAGACCACTGGGCATGTGGGGGCTTCTTTGCACTTAGAATCTGAAGCAGGAACAGTCTGTGCTCAAGCATGCAAAACAAAGTGTCTGCAATCACATAAAGAATAATTTGGATTTGAGACTTCTGGTGGCGATGCGCTTTTCAGTTTGATATCCCCAGCAGGACAGGCACAAGGCGGTGCGCTGCTTGTTCTTTGATTTGCAGGAACACATCCTGCGCGGTGCGGTGGCAGACCCCAACGATCCGTCGAAGTTGCGGAAGACGCACGTCCTCAGCTTCAATATTGACAGCAAACACACACTATGCATTTTTGCAAATATGTCTGGCTCGGAAAGTAGAGGTGTGCACGACTTGTTACGCTTGGCTGCCAGAAGAAAAAAATGTGTCATGCGGTCCGCATGACCGGGACCGGGTAGCACTTGCCCTGCAGCGTCATTTTTTTGTCATGCAAAAGGAGTTTATGTCTGTCTTCGTGCAGGTATTATCATTTACGCAAGACGTGGTCGCTCCGAGACGTGTCATGCACGGCCCCGCATTTCCTTTTCCATTTTCTTTTTCGTAGGGTGCTTCTCCGTTTCGCACACTAGTAGCATCACATCAACTTTCCAGACCCAGGCAGTAGTTGCACTGCATACCCATTCGCCCAGGGGTTGTACCAGGGGCATGCGTACACCTTTGAAGCGCTCCACGTCTTGGCCATTCCCACCATGAGCGTCAACCCGAATGAGTACCTCCTCATTTACGCCGCCTTGATTCGGAACCCCCACGTATCCTGAGTAAAAACGTACCCACACCAGAGTTAGGATGAGGATTTTGCAACACAAACCTAGGAGTTTTGTGAGTCACGCATGACAAGTTGCACTATGCAGTGTAGTGCAGGCTAGCAAGTGCAGCCGCGTCACAGATTCATCTGCTCATCCTGTTCACAGCATCACAAATTCCAAAACACGATTGGAAATGGCTCTCATGGGGATGCGCATTACAAGTCTTCCTGTCTTTGCAAATCTGCATTACAACTCTGGTGTAGTGGGTACGTTTTTACTCAGGATACCACGGGCGCCGCGACTCTGCCTGGAACCCGTTCAAAAATGCCAACGGGCAGGTATGACTTGCTCAAACGTTACAATCTCAAACGTTACAATAGAATCCGGGATTTGTCTTGCATAATGAGCATGACAGACTCGCACAGCGTTCCACCTTTTGCAATACAAATTTTCCCAGATTGTAGTCGGGTTTGGAGCTCCCGAACTTGTCATGCGCAATCCTATGAGAGTTGGCTAGATCATGCACTCTTGCATCACAGATTTCCAAATTCTATTGTAACGCTTGAGATTGTAACACCTGAGCGGGTTATAGCAGCTCAGCGGGGGTTCTCAGGACCTGCGGTTCCTGGCCAACGGGCAGTACGAGCAGCTGGACCTGAAGAAGCCGCGACTGACCGAAACGCTGGTGCATCTGTTGAATGTGTATCCACAGTAATCCTCCCGTACACGTACAAGTGCAGAAAGCTTTAACCTTGCAATCCTATTCTTTTTTTACTTTTAGCATGACAAGTAGTAATGTGCTCCACAAGAAAGTTGGCAGAATGATTTGTGATGCCTTACGCGTGTGGGAAATTTGTATTGCATATCGTGCCGCAGGACGTTTTGCCCAACGAGGCGGGGTTCGGCACGGATGCGAAGAAGCAGCGGGAACTGCTCTGGAACTACGCGAAACGCCCGACGCCGCCGGATTTGGTGGCGCTGGGGGACATATCCTGTGCAAAAGTATCGTACTCGTACTGCAAACATGCATTACAAATCTTTATCTCAAGGTCGATCCGCATTACAAATTTTCTCGCTAATGCTGAGGAAATTTGTAATGCATTTCTACGAGTGCGATACTTTTGCAGTTCATAGGACAGCCTCACGGAGGGCTTCAACTTGAAAGGGGGTACTTCCAGCTCGGACTTGTGGGTCAACAAATTGGGAATTGAGATGCTGAAGTTGAAGGAAGAGAAGGACGGGAGTGGAACAAACGGGGCGATGAAGTCCGGGCTGCAGATCCTCAATGGGGGAAACAGCGGCGCGTTTGCGACGGTTCTGACGGGCGCGGAGCCTCTGTCGATCCAGTCCCAGCCGGGCCAACATGCCCATGCGGGGCGCGTGCTGGTTTCCCATGGCCCGACCGGAGGTTCTTTTCAGATCACGAACTCGGGCGAGCCGGCATTGCGAGCGCAGGCGGGTGACGGCGGCCTGTTGCAGCACGTGAGAGCAAGTATTGTCGGCAACGTGGGCGTAGCGGAGGACCAGAAGGTCGAACTGACCACGGTTTTCTTCGGCACCAACGAGGTCAATCAGGGCAAGTTCAGCGACAAAAACACGGCCGAGAATCTCGTCAAAAACATGAAGCAAATTTTGACGGAGGCGTTGAAATTTTCGAGGTTCGTAATTGTGATTCTACCTCTCGTCGAGAACCATTGGAAGTTGAACACGGAAAATCTGCATTACTACAGGGACATTTACAAGCAGGGAATCGTAAACTTGAAGTCCGACATCATTGGCAAGATCAGGAACGCGGACGGTTCCTCGGCGGAGTACACGGCGGTCGGAGTGGTCGACCTCGACTACTTGCCAAGTTTCGACGGCGCAGACGATCGAGATATGACATTAGAGACTTGATGCGTAAAGATAACGAACGCAAGTGTCCGTCATCATCTTTTTCTTTTCTGCATTTACTTTTTCTGCACAGTATGCTATGATGGTGATCATGAAATCATCGGGTGCAACGAATGTATAGAGAAATAAATTTAGGTTTTCTCCAGCAAATCCTCGTCCTCCTGATTATGAAGCCCACCCGCGAGGCTGTGCTGTTGTGTCACATTGTCTTAAAGTGCGTCCTCTTATTTTGCGTTGTGCTTTGATGACGGATAGATGCGACGCACTCGCATCGTCGTTTTTGGCCTGGATAGTATGCGCGTCAAACAAAAAATACTACAAGTTGACTTTGCCCGGCACCGACCCGGCAATCCGGAAAATCATGGATGAACTTCACCCCGATGGAGAGGGACACAAAGTGATTGCCGACGCCGTTTTGGAAGAGTACAACAAGCTAAAAGGGTATGCCAAAGATGCAGGCACAGGCAGTGTCGCCAAGGCTCCGCTCACCCCGTTTTACATCCTGGAACCCGGTTGCGTGGAGGGGAAAGACTTGAACTCTAAGCTGAAAAAGCCAGACGAAGGGCGAGCAGCTCCCGCAGCCGCGGGTGCGAATGGAGCCTTTCTTTCCAGTCTCCCGGGGGGTGGGCTTCCTTTTCTTGTTCCAGCTTCGTGGACCGGCGCGGGGGGCCGGGGCGCCTCCGCAGACCCCTATCTGCGGACACTGCAGCTGCCGCCGAACGCAGACGGGCCGACAACCTGCATGAAGCCGTATTCCCGGCAGCAGATATCCTCGGGAAAAGTATCGCGCTCGAACGAATTGCAATTTAGCGCGACAGATCATGTATAGCCTAGTAAGTATGGCGCATCTTGTTCAGCATTACCTTTTCAAAAACACTCTTTTGCACGGCTGCGATACTTTTGCAATGTATAGCAGAATTGGGATGACCAAAAGGCCGCGTTGATGTGGATGCCCTGGAGCAGCTTTGTGCTCTACATGGATATGAAGTGGAAATTATATTTTTGGGATCTGGAGCTGGAGGAAAAGTGAAAGTCTAAAGTAATTGTTTGTGAAGCAGCCGTCGGTCGCACGACTCTCAGTGCACCCAGGAGACGGTCTGTAATGCAGCGGTAGAGGTACAAAGATGGTTTTGAGCATTGCCGAATGACATTCTTCAGCTAGCGAGAAGTGCACGTTTCTTGCTTCTCCAGCAAGGCAGATTTTTTTCGCGATTATAAATCAATGAGCATTGAAAGTGATCCACCTTTCAGACCCGGATAAAAAAATGATTTGCACTGGATATCGTGTGGCGAAAAGCAGATCCATCAGTACGCCGTGCCCGCACAGGATCGCAACAAACAAGCTGCTTTTCAGGCCATCCCACTCAGCAGCTCGTTTAAGCCGCTGCGCAAGGTAGCGACGAACATGCAGAAGCCTCCGAAAGGGGCAAAACTCACTGAAGAATCGTCAGGGCAGCAGCTGGCCCGGCTGCAGTCGCAGTGGGAGGGCACGCTGTCCTACTGGGCGGATTTCTTCCACACCGAGGTCTCGAAGCGGCTAAACGAGGCGGGCGTGGAACTGGGCCTGGTCCTCGAGCAAGCTGGACAAGAAGCGCAAAAGATGTTCGAAGAAGCCACCACCTTGCTGAAGGACAAATTGGAGGAACTGTTCAAGTCGTCCGGGGATGTTGACGAGGCGGACGAGGACGAGGACGATCTCAGCGACAGTGACGATGAAGGTGAGGAATTTGCCAAGGGCGCCGAAGGTGTGTACCACAACAACCCGACCGTGTTGTTTCTCGGCGACTCGAGCACTGCGGGCAAGCTGGATTCTTCGAGCGGGCCGGACGTGAGCCCGCAATCGCCAGCCCTGTGGGTCAACCAAGTTGCGCAGGAGTTGCTGCACCTCGAAGTTCGTCCTGCAAAAGCGAAAGGCTCGGAGCCGAAAAAGAAACTGTTTCCAGGGACGACAAAAGATGAAAACGTGCGCAAGCTGACGGTGATCAACGCGGGCAATGTCGGCTTTACGCAGCAGCAGCTCCTCGGCCGGGGCGGCTACCTGGGCGGCAGTGAAGGTGTTGGCCCACCCCAGCACCCGCCGGTGCATGCGCGGCGCTTGGAAGTGGTCGCGAAGGCCGCAGCTGGAAGTGGTGGGGACGAAGACGAAGGACAGCGGTGGACGCAGGGTCCGATACACTGGACGCACGCCACGACCTTCTTTCCGCCGATCACGAAGAATTTGCCGGCGGGGCTGTTCGACTTCTCCGACTGGACGGGGGCGGAGCCGGCGAAGTGGGCCTCGTCGGACGGGAAGCCGATGCCCGACGAGGACAAGATTTTTCTCACGACCATCAGCTTCGGCTCCTACGAGCTGCTGTCGGGGGTGTTCTTCGAGCGGGCCTTGAGTTCCTACGTATCTTCTTATGCCCAGACCGAACTGGACCTGTGTGGGTACCCGCCGTACACCGGCGACGCTGAAAAAATTAAGAACTACGTCAAAGAGGTCCAGGACCTCGTGAACACGCTGCTTACGCACTACAGCCGCTATGTGGTGGTCGTCCTGCCCGACCTGTCGTTTCACCCCTTCCGCGGGGAGGGGAAAATCACCACCAAAACAACCGACTCGGGCAGCGCCGCGAGTACCACGACGACTCAGCCCGCGTGGGACTATTTCAAAGGGGTGCTGCTGGAAAAGGGCCTGGGACCTCGAGTTGCAATCACGGACATGGAGGGACTGCAGGACGAAACACAGAAGCTTGACACAACCGATTTTGTGACATCCTACTTGCCGAAAGAAATCCGGCTTTGGGAAAAAGTGCACGAATCGCCATTTATCCTGTGCAAAAGTATCGTACTCGTACTAATTGCATTTATGCATTACAAATCTCTTTCTCAAGGCAAATCAGCATTATAAATTCAACTTGTAATGCTGGGCCAATTTGTATTGCAATTACTATATATTATATTCATGCGAAAAAAGAGGTAGACAGAGGGTAAACAAGAGGTGGCCGAGAGGTCAAAAAGAGGTCAAAAGAGGTAAAAAAGAGGTCGACAGAGGTGGAGAGGTGGCGCGGGACCCCTTTCGAGAGGGCCGGCGAGAGGGTGCGCGAGTATAGCCCGCCGAAGGACCCACCCTAAGGCGGCGCCTAAGTGCCTCAGAGGGTGCAGAGAGGTCAAAAAGAGGGGGCGCGAGAGTTCGACAGAGGTGGCGAGAGGTGGCGCGAATAAGGGGCGACCTCTCGCGGACCCTCTTGGCCACCTCTCGGCCACCTCTGTCGACCTCTACCCGCGAGTATAGCCGGATTATTAGCGGGGACCCCCAAAAGAGGCCAAAAAGAGGGTCTGCGAGAGGTCTGCGAGAGGGTAAAACACAAAGAAGCGGGCGCGAATCCGCATGGCACTACCCATATTTGGCACTGCAGGCCATTCGCGGAGCTGTTTTGTTCGGCGCCTTTCCGCGCCACCCTCTCGCGCCACCCTCTCGCGCACCCTCTCGCGCCACCCTCTCGCGCTACCCTCCCCCGCCGGGCGGTTTCTGTTCGCCCCCGGTGGTCTTTGCAGCTGCTCCCTGCGCAGAGCGCCCACAGGCGCGGGAAGCGCGCAAGTGGTCCTGCGGGTTGGCGCGGCGCAATGTGTTTCGTTGTGCATAGGCCCGCGGGGTTGTGGTCCTATCGGCAAACAGTCTTGCCCCGACCCAACAGCCTTGCGCTCCGGCGGCAGCCGGAGCATGGCTGGTTTATACTAGTGCGATGCTTTTGCATTGCATACCATTGCGGTTCCAGCAAGACATGGGCCTCATGGCGAAGTACCAGCTCTACCCCAACGAGAAGGGGCACGCGAAAATGGCGGCTGCGGTGAAGGAGGTGGTCAAAGGTCTGATCACAAAGAACGAGGGTAACGGTGATGAAGCTCCCGCTACCGCTTCTCCTGATGATGATGATGATGATGATGATGATGGCGGTGAGGGATCGGATGAAGAAGAACAAAAGCCGGGCTTCTTCACACGGCTTTTTTCCTGGTTCACCAGCAGGGGCTCTTCCGAAACCAATTCGAGCAAACCGAATCGGCCGAAGACCTCAAGGACAGTGGGCACGAAGAAAAATGGTCGAGGTCAGCCGCTCAGCGAACAGGAAGTTGTGAATCATCAAGCCGGGGTTTTCGGGAAACTGTATGGTGGAAGAAGCAAGGATCTCGCCACGACCACGCTACTTGTACCTGCCTTGTATACAATCGCGCCGAAGTGATTTATTAGTGTGCGAGTCTGTGGCTGTGGGAGGACTACATGAAGGAACACGAGAATAGAGTTTTTGCATGTTTGTCAACAACTTTTCCTTTCATCGCACTCAAATACTGCTACCAACGTACCTGAAGGAGAAAATAGATTTTTCCCCTGCAAAAACATTTCCGACATGCATGACTTAATACGCATAAAAGGGGACTCAAACGCAGAGCCTCAAGCTTCCAGTGGCTATATCAGGCCGGCGCGCCGCCTCAAGTGAAGATGTTACAGTTACGGACGATATCAGCATGACCCGCAGAAGTCGCGTTCTCTAGAAGATTGTGAATTTCTGACTTGTTGCATTCTCGGCACTGATTTGTCATGGAGAGATCTTCGAGCTTTTCCACCTGATATCTTGAAGAAAACACTCGCGGACACATGGCACGACGCGAGTCACTTTCTGAAACGGAAGCGCCGGGAGTGGTTCGATGGAGCCAGCTCCGCTACGGGACAACCCGACAACAGTGACGGTGCGGGGGTTGCTGGGGCTGCTCCCTTGAACGGACGCACGGAAGCTGAAGCAATGGTCCCCGCACCGCGTGAAAACGGTGGTAGCAGCGATGAGTTGAAGTCGCTTGTCCCGTAGAGGTCCTCGTCGTGACGAGCTACACCACGGCACCCGAAATCCTTTTGTGAAAAATCGTTCCCACAGAGTTCTTCTGCTTCTAGATTAATCTTCACGAAGTTCAAGTTTGTCTTCTACGATTGGTGTTGCAGCGTCTCTGTGACATCCCACTGCGCGCAAATGTACGCACACGAGCCTGAGTAGTGAAAAACAAGCGGTTCTTGCGGAGCCATCGTGCGCCACTAGCATAATTTTTCCCGGAGAAACCGAATCCAATCTGTCAGCCGCATGCACATTATTAAATCCTTCTCCTTACAGACGAATAATATAATTTCTCTTATTCTTTTTCCCCACAAGAACAAATTACGTGCGACCAGCGTTTCTACTTACGAACAAATGTAGAAGTACTTAACTTTGAGTAGAACAGCAACACGAATTCTATATCGAAATTTCTTCTGGTAGTTATACTTTTTCATATTTTCTTCAGGTCGGACATTTCTTCATTCAAAATCAAATTTTGGTTTTGCTTTTGCGAAGCACACAATCGAAACTTTGTTTGCTGCAGTATTTTCTACATCACGTAACCGCATTGGCTTTAACTTTCACTTTCAGATCAAGTTTGACAGAACATGCACTCACATTTTTTCAAGTAGCCTACAACATACAATTGACCGTATATGGAATTTAGGATCCACGCGTAACTAAAACTTCATGTTCATAAAAACGAAATGTGTGTATCGGTATGAAGTAGAAGTGTATTACTAGCTTCATGAATTGACGAAGACGGAACGGAGCCGAAAAATATGCAGATGTTTGTTTCACCGGAATCAATCATGTTGCGCACCAGCAGACGTTGTCAGGCTTTTGACAACCGTTGAGATTCAGATTGATATTGTTGACATCTTTTTGTTGTTCCCATTCGTGAAAATAGGATTATCAATATTTGAAATCACATGCTGGCTGCAGAACCTTGGTCTACTCTGATGTATCAAAACAATAATAAGCTTTATCGAGTTTTATATAAGCCTTCAAGATCTGAAGATGCTTATGCGTGAGGTTCGCTTCGATTATTTAGTAAGTTGTTTCATGCTGCGTGTGGTGGAGCGGGGCGTTTGAAGGATCATCAATCTAGAACACCAGCCGAAAATATCTTCAGAGAACACGATCAAGGAAGAATTCTACAAGTACGGGCACCAGCGGACACAAGCGAGTGCTCCTTTACCAAAATGGCGCTTCAGCATTGGACCGTCGCACAACCTTCGTTTTTTTATTTTTTTATATTTCGCAGGCTCTCTTTTTGATAGTGTGCTCCTGTCTCTTACTTTGTTTATGCACGTTGACTTTCTGCGAAGCCTTTCTAGCGTCCGCGCTTTTTGTTTGTGTACTAAAAGTTTTCCAATGCTATCGCGTTGACCACTGCAACTACAAATCATGGTAAACGTCGGGAGAATAGCGCTCGTCAATCTTTCTGCCCCTTGTTGGGTTGTTCTTTTCGTCCTTAGCCGCGTTCTTGGGCGACGACGGGCTAGCGCTACTCCTGAGTTTCATCTTCTCCCGGCGGTAGTGGTCGCGTCAGCTGGTTTGGTCACAGGTTCTCTCGGTATTATGGGTCGTTCCTCTTGCCAGGGCTCCATTTTTGAGACGAGCCAGAAGACGGTCGCCTCGAGGAGGACTTTCGAGCAGCACGAGCAGTACGAAGTACCAGGAGCGACACGGGCAGATAAGGCACACGAGACGGAAATCGATCCATTGACGATTTCCTTGCAAGAATTTCTTGCGTGGGAGCAAACCACTCTGAAAACCTGGGCGGATTTCCGGAAGTTCTTGTATGATGGGCAAAACAACTTCTGGTCAGGCACCGATGCCAGCATGCGCATGGGATACCAATATCTGTCATGCTCAACAACATGATGCCACCGTGTGAACGTAAGTACGTGTTTTTCTTGTTTTCCGGTGCTGAGTGTTGACGCAAAAATGTCGCGAACGTAAGTATGATTTGGCTCGGTTTGCTGACCGATATCTTGATTCAGTTCCAGGGGGTGGATTTTTCGCACTTGTACGCGGTAAACAACGAAGCGCGAGTATGGAAGAAAATAAAACCGACTGTGGTAGTCAACATCCGTACCCCCTATCTTTTGATGGTAAGCTGCACTTGTTGCGTCTAGTGCGGCCGCACGTACGCGTCGTGGTGCATCTTCTTGACCATCGACGCGCCCGCGTTATTTGGCAAAGGCAGGAGAATAAAGCGTATGGGGCACGTAAGTAATTTTCAGACCTTGTTTTCTCTTGTCTTGCCGAGGAAACCCTGCTGGACGTAATACTACCACAACGTAGTACCTATTTTTTTTTGTGTATGAACATGAAGTACGCACAGGTAGTGAATGTCGCATCAACTCAACTCCTTCGAAATTATAGTTAGGGTGACGGGGTAGATTTTTCACTTGGATAACGGGAGCTGGTTACCCTGGGAAAGCTGTGGCAGGAGGTGCGGATAGGGTAAGAAATTTCAATTCTGTTGGCCTTCCAAGAAAGAAATAAAAAAAGAACAAGTTTTGATCTGATGCAACATGTGTGAGTTCTTTTGATGCAGACTGAAAAAAGGATAGTACCTTGAAAACGAAAACACGACCGACTACTTCTTGCGTAATTAAAACAAAGCCCACAGCTTTTTTTTACCATGGCGATGTAACAAAACAGCCAGGCAGAGCCGCCGCCTGCTAGACAGAAAACCGAAGGAGCTGCTACGGGCGCGAGGCGACGCGAGAGCCGCCGGCGGCCAAGACGGAGCTTTACCTGAACAAGGGCAGAAGTTTAAAAATACCGGTCCGAACAAAACTACCTCCAGTGGCCTAAACGAGAAGATCTCCGACCACGGTGCTGGCACAACGAGAACCACATCTGGAGGCAAGGCCACCAGTTATTTCTCGCCGACCTCTGCACACCATTTGCAGACTACGTCCCAGCTGCACGACAGCACCAGCTCCTGCTTCCTGGGTGAGATTTCGTTGCTCTTGTCCAGCTTTCTGTTCCTCCCGAGACAGGAACTTCGTATGGTGGTGAACCAAACACGGACGTTTTTTGAGGAAATAACTGAACGCGGGAACGAGGATGAGAATATACTTGCTCTTCGTGATGAACAGTACCAGGAAGCGCATGAAGATTCACTTTCACTTCTGTTCTCGGCCGATTTTTTTCGTCGGCGGCGGAAGCAGGAAGTCCACGCAGAAGTTGTAGACCATGGAACTACGAGGTCTGCCCTGAGCCACAATGCGAATGTGTTCATCGAGGTGGTGCGACACGTGATGGACTATGGACGACATCATGGGCTCCTGAAGATGAACAAGGCGACGAGGATTGGGGACTCGTCGTCCAGCGCTGGAATTGCTGCCCCCTCCACAACTTGGGCACAGCTCGCGATAGGACGGCTTGCGGGTCCAGGTGAAGAGGACGTCGCTGTAGAACAAGACACGGCTACACATTATGACTCAGACTCCCCTCACCGGTTGCACGACCACCGACAGGACTCACCTTCCTGGCCGGTGTTCGGGTTGTTATCCGCCATTATGGCACGATACGCGTCGACCGCGACAGTGTACGAACTGCAAATGTATCGTACTCGTATATATCGCATGACAAATTGAAATTATCTTCTCAGCATGAGAAAGAGAAATAAAATGTGTCATGCTGATTTACTTTATAAGAAAAAAAATTGTATATGCAAGACTTGCATTTATACGAATGGGATACTTTTGCACAGGATACAGTGATGCTGCACACAAATTTGAAGACGGCCTTGGCCGTCAGTTCGCTGCAAGAAGAGCCGGCGAAGAGCCTCGACAGGAAGGCCGGCGTCGCTTTTCAGTACCCGCTGACGCATCTGACCTGGAACACGTACGGATTTTATGCATTGCAAATATGTCTGGGTCTGGAACGATGCACGGTTGCTCATGCACATTCTGCATGACCTTGACCCAGGATGTCTGTAATGCATGCCCCTCCATCACAGATTTTGTGAGGGCTTCCTGATGCCTATACCGCATGACAAATGCCCTCTGCGCGGGGCAAGAACTGGATTGGCTGGCTGCTCATGCAATACAGATTTTTGTAGGATCGAAAGGCCGCTGCGTCACAAGTTTGCATCCTTCCAGACCCACACAACATATTTGCATTTGATAGATTTCACCACCATGCAAAAACTACTCCCGGAGACGAGGACGGTGGTAGCAGCGAGAATTCTTTGGACAGCGACAGTGACAGCAGCACCTCGTCAGATCTTCACTTCACAAATAAGATGGGCGCGACGACTTCTTCTGGTGCGCCGTCGTCGTCGCTTGCTGGGCAAGGCAACCGCGACCAGCAGGGAACAGCAAACGATCGGAGTGTCAGTGAGAAGGTGGATTTCTGGCCAACCTGGACGGAGTTGCACGACGGCATTGTGCGGGAATTTGAGCAGGATGTTGCGGGTGGAGAACAAGCAGACCACGACCGTGGGCTCCGGCAGGGTCATGGAATAAAAACTTCTGAAGATATTAGCGTGGGTCGCTACGGACACAATGTCGATAGCAGCACTTCTACGCACGGCGAAATCGAAAATAATGGCCGCCGCGGCGGAAATGCCGGCCCATCATCTAAAAATCTTCAAACGAAAGAGCTGGCCCACGATGACGAGGAGATGGCGAACAACCAGCTTGGCAATGACAATGGAACAAATGATTCTTCTGCGGCAAGTAGTAGAGCAATAGCCGTCGCCAAAGACTTCTATCAGCACGACATTCAGAGCTGGATGTACGAAGACCTTCACCTGCCCGCAAATTCACTACTTCTTCATAATGAAGTTCTCCCGGCAACTACAGGCGCTCCTCGTCCACCAGGTCCAGCCAGTTACTGCAACCATCGCTACCGCTTCAGGGAGCTGGACCTCACGCTCTCCCGGATCACGTCGGAAGGCCAGGGCTTCGGCGAGTTTCTTATGGGGCTCTCAAACGTTACATTCTCAACTGTTACATGAGATTTGTAATGCAGGAATGGCAAAAGTGAAAGGGACGAGGACGAGGTTGCTCCTTTTGCATTACAGGTTTGGAGCAGATTACAATGCTATCTAGCGTGTCGAGAACTTGTCATGCGGAGAAGGTTTGAAATTGTGAAAAGTGATAGCGTTTTTGCATGACAAATCATGTAACATTTGAGAATGTAACGTTTGAGCGCCCCATATTTCTGACGAAGAAAGATTTCGACCTCTGTCTTCCGTACGCATTGAGCCACTTGGCGAATCTCAGTTTACGGGTGAAGCAGGCAAACGAGGTTGTGTTTGCGGCGCGAAATATCAAAATGAAAAATCCTCCCTCCCCATATCGAAACGGAAACCTGTGATGCGGGATTTGTGTACACAAATCACATTTGTCTTGCAGGAAAGCACTGCGCCCAGATCGCAAGCCTGAGGGGGGGCTTTTGGTTGATTAGGGGCTTAGCGTGGCAGGTGTCTTTCTTGTTGGCCTTGCAGCATTACAAGCTGCCTGCATATCGTGGCGGACTCCCTGGGTTTGCCTTCTGGCAAGACAGACAGGATTTGTGGCCACAAATCTGCATCACAAATTTTCGGAAGGACAAAATGCGTTCACTATGGGGAGGTGGGGGGATTTTCCCTTGCAATGCGAAACCTGCGGCATTTGTGGCTGCCGGACGTGCAGGACGTGCTCACTTTTATTCAGCAAAAATTCCAGGAAAGCCCGCATTTGCTGGTCGACAAGTGGTTCTTTTGGGAAATCCTGGCGCAGTTCCAATTACACCAAGTGGTGGAAATCCAGGCAGTGCCTCAGCTGAGTCCGGATTTTCACCGGGCGCAGGCGTTGTTGGCCAGCGACACGACCGGATCTTCTGCTGTGATTGAACATCAAGCTAGTGGCACGGAAACAACCGAAGACGCGTCTACTCCGGAAGAAGATCATGCTGACACTCTTTCATCATCAATATGTGACAGTGGTGAAGATGGCGAAGTAGATTCGCATTCGGGTAACAGGAGCAGCTTGACGACTGCTGCGACAACTGCCATAAAAACTCCTGAGGACGCAGTAGAAACAGGTGAAGCGAAAAGCGCAACTGCAGCAACATCCGGGATGATGAAACACCAGGAAGAGGAGATGATGCACAGCAAAAACAGTTTCAAATACACCATTCCCAAACCAATCAAGAACGAGGTCTTGCAAAAAAACCGGAAGTTCGAGGGCCGGCAGCATTGGAGCCAGAGGTTGGAAACGTGGTGGAGAAGGATTTTTCTGGCCACAACAGAACTAGAAGGGAAAGTAGATGACAATCACAATCAGGTAGTTGGGGTGGATGAAGAAGAAGAACATCACGGCGATAAGATACAACTACCGTCCAAGATGAACACTGCCGCAGCCCACATATCAAATGTAAAAATGTCTGGGTCTGGAAGAATGCATGTCTGTCATGCTTGTCTGGCATGGCTCTTGAATCTGTCATGCACGTTGCCCAAGAGCCCCATTTTTCTGTCATGCAGAAACGCAGTTTGTCATGCAGAATAGGCAACACCTAGCGGCTCCGAAACTTGTCATGCTGGGCCAGCACTTGTGGCCTCATCGTGATACGCCACCCAGCATCACAAATTTCCAGACCCAGACATTTTTGCATTTGATACCACAAGAAACATACCTACTTTCAAGTCGTCTTCCCCCGTTACCTATCAGATGTAAAAATGTCTGGGTCTGGAAGATTGCCAGGTTTGTCATGCACATTTTTCATGACTCCTGATCTCTGTGATGCATGCCCTAGCATCACAGATTTTGCGAGGGCTTCCTGATGGCTATACCGCATGACAAATGCTCTTTCCGTACAGCAAAACTTGGACTCTCTTTGCTGCTCATGCAATACAGATTTTTTTAGAATCCAAAATCAGCATGACAAGTTGGATTCTTCCAGACCCAGACATTTTTGCATTTGATACTACCTCACCTTCCACGGCGTCGTCGCCTCCGCGCTCCGTGCCAAAAACACACCGTATTGCCCGCGGGAATGCCAAGATGCGGTCTTGCAAATGTACTTGCGGCTGAAAACAAGTGGGATGGCGGCGAGGGACGACGAGGTGAAGATCACTTCGTCGACTCGAACTGCAGGTGAGTACTCAACATCGCCGCTGGATGGACTACCATCTCTGGAATCTGAACAAGAGAATGGAAGACAACTTCAGCAGCACGAACGAAAAGGAAAAGGCCTCGTGGACGAAGTCGACCACCTCCCGCATCAAATAAAGCAGTTAGAGTTGATCGAAGTGGGGCCGCACTACGGAGATTGCATGCTTTGGGCCGTGGCCTTTGTGGACAGTTTGGAAAAGATTGCTGTGCGTCGAAAAGTATCCTGTGCAAAAGCATCGTATTCGTATTGCAATCATGCATTACAAATCTTTTTGTTGAGTCAAATCCGCATTGCAAATTTTTTTTCTCATGGTGAGGAAACTTGTAATGCATTTATACGAGTACGATACTTTTGCAGTTCATAAAAAGATAAAAAAACGAAATTGTCTTTGACCAAAAATAAAGTCACCGCTACTTCCTTCGGTTTTGACATCGACCAAAAGATCGTCGACGGGATCAGAAAAAGCATCTTTCTGAACGACAAGTTCGCGGACAAAGTCGGGTACGACTTGCAAGATCATATCTTCGTGCTGGGACTGCTAGTAGAAATTGCGAATTTACAAACTTAACTTTCTCAGAATGACAAATTCCAAATCAATGGAATGTGTCATGCTGATTTGCCTTGCGGTTGCGACGTCGATTTGCATTTATGCATAATCGCGATTTCTACTACGAGTACGATACTTTTGCAGCATGATAGCGGGGTGCGGCTGGCGGCGATTACCGATGGGGTCAGCGGATTGCATTTAGGCATGATGGACAAGAATACAAACTACGCCACGGCGGGTGAGGACTATGGGCCAGGTGGTCATGGTTCATCAGATACTACAGGACAAGAGCGACGAGACGCTGCGCCTTCTTGGTACGTCAAGACTCTGGACCAGTTGTTGTTGGGACCACCACGTAGTGGTGGTAGCGGACCCCGCACAAGTAACAAAAGGACACCAGCACCAGGCAAGCCTAGCACAGGAACAAGTACACGAAGAACTCCCACACTGAACATCAAGCGCCGTGAAGAACAACAAGAAGACTACAGTGACGACAAACACAACAAGCACACCATCCTGAAAATCCACGTTGTGGGGAAGCTGGAGCACCGGATTTTGTACGGCGCGAAAGAGTACTTGTTTGGCCCGACTTCCACCGTGCGACAGGTCATATGAGAGTGCACACCGCCTCCCCCTCATTTGTACTTTTGCATGAACACCAATACAAACACCACCAGACGTGGACCCTGTGCATGACAAATTCATGCGCCTCGTGTAGTACTGTTTTGGCTTCGTCCGGAATCTGTCGTGCAAGCAGTGCCACAGGGAAGCACTTGGATTTGGGTTTTTGCGTCACAAATGAAGGGACGGGGGAGTCCTTGTGCACTCTCATAAGTCATTTTGCACATTGACTACCCGCATGTGTTGAAAAACGCGGTGCGATTTCTTGCGGACGGTGACGAACATCTTCACGAAGGTCATCTTCTTCATGCGACAACCGATCTGCACCTGCCCAGAAGAAGTGCCGCGGCCACATTTCCAGAAGAACACAAGGAATCTACCACCGGTATGGGGCTCTCAAACGTTACATTCTCAACTGTTACATGATTTGTCATGCAAAATGACCATGACCCGCCAGACTATCAAGCTGCTTCGCATGACAAATTCCCGGAGGGCTAAATAGCACTGTAATCCGCACCAAACCTGTCATGCAAGACGCGCAAGGGAGGTCTCCCTCTCACCTGTGCTAGTCTTGCATTAAAAATTCATGTAACAGCTGAGAGTGTAACGTTTGAGAACGCCATAACCGGCGCGGGCTTTCAGGTGTTTCAACTGCTGCTGAAGGGTATCCTGTGCAAAAGTATCGTATTCGTATATATGCAAGACTTGCATTACAAATCTTGTTCTTAAGGTAAATCCGCATTACAAATTTTATTTCTCATGCTGGGGAAATTTGTAATGCATTTATACGAGTACGATACTTTTGCAATGCATAAAGGGGTTGACGTTCCCAGAATTTCACGAACTTCGATATCCACAATAAATTTCCTGTACACGACGTACAAATTCAAATGTGGCTTCTGCATGACAAAACTGAGCATCAGTCCTAGTTTAGCATGACAAGTGTTACACTCCAAATTGGTGAAGTTTATCATGCATTTTTTACATCAACGGGAAATTTACGTTGCATATCCGGAGACTCTATTACATGACGTTGCGAAAATTTTTGGAAAGACGGGTGGCTACGATCATGAGCAAGACCCGTGCTGACAGCGGCAGGGCAACATATCATCCATCGGATGCAGTAGAAGTGGAGCAAATAGCTGAAATAAATGGTGCGAAGCCGCAAGCTAGAGATCATGTGGATGAAAGAGTAAGAGATGACAATAAAGAGATCCGGATGTTGGATGCGTTTCTTGCTGCGGAGAAGAAATTAGAACGGGAGCAATTCGGTGGAATTTTTATCGGAAATAAAACGCAAGTAGAAGCAGATGCACCAGCAGTTCCAGCACCGAAAAACGCTGCATCATCCCGCGAGGACCAGGATCAGACGGGCAGGCAAGAACACCAGAGGACCGCCAGTGCGGCAAGAACATCGTCGTGCAAAATGAAAATCAAGAGGAGGAAACAGCACCGGACGAGTAGGGAGCAAATCAACAGGAATAGTGGTTTTTTTCGGATTTTCGACCACCAGATATTGGAGGAAGAGGCTGATGAACAACTCCAGCAAGAAGAGCACGACTTTGGAAGCGCAAAGGACAATAAAGACTACCCGAGAACAAGTGATGCAAATAAATCGAAATTCCACGACTTCACTGAGTTTTACTTTAATCTTCACCCCAGATTTCTCCCCGACAGGCTCCTCCACTACTTTTTTCATAGTCTGGAGGTGAGGCAGGTCGTCGTGAGTCGAACCGTGGGGGAGGCGCTGGCGTGACATAAGAATGTAAAAGTAGTTGGTGAAAACCACTTGTGCGTTGCTGGGCGTACGAAAATACTTACCACGAAGGAGAATAAACTGGACAGGAGAAGACTGATCACAGCGCTGGGGCCCAGTAAGCGATAAGTAGAAAACGAATCATCTGCATGTTGGGTGCTCGGCCGACCCTATAGTTCTAGTTGCGAGCTGAGGAGAGTTCGAGTCGAATATCCGAGAAGCGAGAACCGGATCCGTCAAAAACAGATTTGACAAACCGGATCCGTCAAATGCAAATATGACATTTCAAATTTCACATTTGCACATTTCAATTTCACACTTTCAAACATTTCAATTTCACATTTTCAAATTTCAAGTTTTCAGATTTCAAGTTTTCAGATTTCAAGTTTTCAGATTTCAAGTTTTCAGATTTCAAGTTTTCAGATTGCAAGTTTTCAATTTTTCAAGTTTCACGTTTTCAAATTTCAAATTTTCAAGTTTCAAAATTTGGAGTTTCAGGTTTTCAACTTTCAAGTTTTCAAGTTTCAAACTTTCATATTTGAAATCTGCAGACTTGCGATCAGATCTCAGATCTCACGCCTCATGTCTCAGTCTTCAGATCTGAAATCTCAGAGATCAGATCTCGCATCCCAGATCTTGAGGCTCAGATCTCGAGTCTCAGATCTCGAGCCCAGTCTCAGATCTCGAGTCTCAGATCTCGAGTCTCATCGCTCGGGTCTCAGATCTCGAATCCCAGACCTCGAATCTCAGACCACGAATCTCAGCCCTCGAGCCTCTCGAACCAACCTCGGAGCCCGACTCCCAGATCTCAGGCATCACGTCGCAAACGCCACCCCTCGGACTTCAGAGCTCAGGTCTTACATCTCAGACCTCAAAGAAAAGCGAAAACACACCGGGGCCAGATTGCCAGCCACGACCTGCTGGCCAGCCTGTGACCAGGGTGGCAGATTCTTTCTCGGCGCGTGTTCTTCGGATGGCGCACAACAAAAGGGCAAACAGAGCGGGTCAGTGGTTTCTTTTGGTTTCTTTGTTCACAACAAAAGGGCAAACAGAGCGGGTCAGTGGTTTCTTTTGGTTTCTTTGTTTGTGTGGTTCGGCCTATTGTGTTAGGGACCTGGTGCAGCACCAAGCAAATACATCAAGAGAAGCAAGACAAAAGACCGGGGGGGGTATCAGACAAATAAAATAAAGGCGAAGGCTTAGCGGCGAACTCGATCAACGGGGGGGGCTTTGGGAGTACTTCCTTCAAGGGGTGGGAATGAAAAGCATGCGCCTGGCCCGGGGGCAAAATACCAGGAAAGGGCTAGCAGTGAAGCACTAAAAAAGAAATAAAATAGTAAATTGATCGGCATACTCATAAGGGCGCAGAGGGGTAGGGAACTTACGGGAACCATCTAACGCGCGGACGCGGTAGTCCAAACGTCGCAAGGTCGACGTAGTTCTCTAACGTCGTGACCCCGTCCTCGCGATAAAGCGCGACCTGGCTGCGACTTCGCGGCCGGCTGAGCATGGTGAAGGCGATCCCATGGAGTACCCAGATGGTTGCGACGGAAATCACGTAAAGGATACCGAGGGCAACCGTGCGCCCCTGGAAGCTGTGGATCGTGCTGACCACGCTGGCACGGACCCCGATCGCCAAAACCAACCAGCGCGCGCCCGGATCCGCGTCCACGTCTTCTTCCCAGGTACTGTTGAGCGGCACTTCTTCCTCCATCCCTGTGTCGTCAAATCGCACAAGGACGAAAGTGTCGCCGAACCCGCGAAGGATGCCGCGGGAGTTGGTCGCGTATGTGCGTTGCAATAATCTGAGTGGGCCCGTAAGGGCGACGCGCTCACCGATGAAGAGCTCCAGAGCCTCCGACCGTGTCGATTCTTCGGTCTCGAAGCCTTCAAGCAATGGATTCTGCATGTTGAGCATCAGGGGTTTGTATGTGCGGCACGCGACCCGCAGGGAACGCAAAGCCCGCGCGCGCACCCCGAGAACCCGGCGGCGTTCGCGATGGGTGCCGACAACGATCTCCACTTTGTTCAGGGCATCGACGCCGCCACCAATGCGAACACGCTCCCCAAGCCATTGGTAGGAGTATTCCGCGTCCGCAGCGCCGACCCGCCCGAAGGTGGTGAGGTCGATCTCCTTCGTCTCGCCCGTTCGAATAGGGTCCAGCTCTTCACTCCATTCCTGTGTGTCGTAGCGCGGGTTGTGTTTCCCGTTGTCGGTGTAGATGTAGCGCACGCGTGGGAGGGTCTCCACATACCGGGCGAACGGCGTCGGCGATCCAGCAAGAAGGGCGTCCGTGGCTTTTGTGAGTCGCAACACGCTGGGAAGCTGGTGGGTGTCGCCGAGGAGCCCGACCTTCTTCGCGCCCCAGGGCTTCGCGCGTGCCCGGCCCGACGCCTTGCCAAGGGCCTGCATCCAAAGAAGCGTCTGATCGCCGACCTTTTTCTCCCCAGTCTCGAACCACTCAGCGTTACCCATGGCGTCCTCATCGATCAGAACAATGTCGGCCGCGCCGGCAAGTGCTTGCGCCTCCTCCCCCCAAGCCTTGCTGTCCTCGAGCTCGATCGTCATCCCGAGGCCGTCGTGCATTGTCTTGCCGCCGATGATTGTGGCGGCCTGCCCGGTGGAGGCGAGCAGAATAATGACAAGGCCCCGAAGGTAGGAGGCGAGCTCGATTGCACGAATCAGAATGGCCTTGCCGGCCCCGGCAGCTTCGTCGCATGCAACAACGTCGGCGACCGCGTTAGGGGTCTCGGTGCCGCCGTCCATGAACTCATAGAAGGCTGCTTTCTGTCCGGGTGTCATCTCGATCGCGTTCGGGTCGGCACCATGGAGAAGGTTTGCGAACTCCCGCGCGTGTGCCTGGCGGTTTGCGCGGATGCGGGCGTGGTATGCGTCGACATAGTACTGCCGTCGCTCGCGGTCGGATCCGAAGGTCATCAGGTGGGTGGCCGCGTCCGGGCGGGTCTGGCGAATCGTGTGGCGGTCGATGCCTTCGCGCTCGAGCCGCTGCGCGATGACCTTCGCCGGGATTCCATGTTCGTCCTCAAGCCACTGCCATGCAATCTGCCGGGCCTCCGCCTGGAAGTTTGTGAAGTACTTCACGAAAAGCGTCAGCGGGCCGGTCTGCGGCCGCAATTGGGTGAGTTCATCCAAAAAGTTTTGAAAAACAAACCCCGCAAGGTGGGCGGGGTAATTCCAGCGCCGCATGCTCGCTGCGGGGTCGTCAAAATACTCCTCCACGTCAGCCCTTTCAACAAGATGCAGCCCACAAAGCCACAGCAGATAGGTGTCCCCGAAATTTTTGCCGCGGATGTGGGCGATCTCCCGAAAGGGGTCGCGTTTTGCGAGGATGCGCCTGGCTTTCTCGAGCGCGCCCGCCGTGTTGCCGCGAATTTCCTTCCGGTGTTCCTCTAAGAACTGGACGAACTCCCGAAGCGTCTGCAATTCCAAGACAACGCCGAACCGCGTCTCCCCGCGAAACTCTTCCTCGTGGATCGCTGGGCGCCAGTGCATGAAAGGCGCCAGAAGCCGCGCGTCTGCCGACGGGATAGTGCCGAGGGAGAACCGTTCAAGCGACCAAGAGCGATATTTTTCCGGCCGGTCGAGCCAGTTGCTGACGTAATCCGTCGGCCCTGCCGCCATACGGAAACAACGCGCGGAGTCGATGTGGTACTCATTTACGAGAATCGGACGGAGAAGGCCGTCGGGGACGTGGACCCCGAGCCGGTTGAAGCCATAGAGCTCGGCAGCCGCATCCGACGCGGGAAGCACCTGGGCCGCGTGAAGCGTCTCGACCTCATTAAAGCGCCCGTCCTGCTCGAACATTTGCCAGCTTCCCTGCTCCGTGTTTTTCCCGAGGGGCTTCATCTTCTTAATCGGGTAGGTGATCACGTAGCGGACTTTGTTGGCCCCCCCGACCCCTGTTGCGTGGCAATGCGCACGAAACCGGCAGAAGGTCTTTTTGTCGATACCGACGAACATCACATCGGCGGGGTCGGTCTCGATCTGCAAGAAGCCCCGGTCGTCGAGATATGTGACCGCAACGACCACGGCAGGAATGCGCCGGAGGCACTGCGTCTGGCCGGGTCGCAAGCAGGCCGCTGTGTGGTTATGGTAGAAAACTTTGTCGGCGGTTTCTTTCCAAGCGGGGCAGTCTTGGGGAATGAAGTCGCGGCTGCGGGTAATGAATTCATCGAAATCCTGCTCGAGCAAAAGCGGAAGCAGGAACCACGTCAGAGTGTGCTGGTGCGGTCTGCCGCTGCTGGGCTGGGCCTCTTTTCCCCAAGTTACTGCGGCGCAGGGGCCGTAGATTTGCTCCAGGCTGTCCGTGTGCAGCCACATCTTCGCTTGAAAGGCGCGCACGCTTGCAGCGGGTTCGTCGAGAACGCCACAGGTGCCCCAGGGTCTGCGCGAAGCCTCGGCGACAAGTTCGCGCGTGTCGTCTGCTTGCGTCGCGGTCGTCATGAGGTCCGCAGCGCCGAGCTTGCGCATGATGGCGAACGCCTTGCCCCGCTGTTCCGCGACTTCTTCTAACGAGCCGGGCACGTTGGCGGGCAGGCGGCGGGGAAGCTTTCCCGGGTGGCTTTTTTGGTACGCTGCCGAATAGGCGAGGATGAGGCGCTGCCGCTGATTGAGGGAAAAGCGCAGGAGCAGCTCCTGGTGGAGGTCATGGAGCACGGGGCTCATCATTTCCGGGCGTGCGAAATACTGGCGGAGAAAGCACTTCGTAGTCACGTTGGCCGGCAAAGTCAGGCCGTTCACGAAAAGCAGCGGAAACTCGACGCCGAGCAACTGCTCCCACAACCGCGTCAGGTCCTCATGCTTTTGGTGGATCTTCTTCGCATCCATGTCGTGCTGCTCCTTCGTGGGGAAAAAAATCTCGGACCCTTCGCGCATGCGTCCGGCGTTTACGCGAATGGTCACCCCACAAACCCCCCCGGCGTCAAGCTCAAGCCCGAGCCCGGTAATTGGCCCCGGGTCGTTCAGGTAGCGCTGAAAATTTACATGGCTGTAGACCGGGTGCCCGCGGTTCCTCCGGGTCAGGAGCCCGAGCATGTCGGCGGCTGCCTTTTTTTCCTGCGCCCGCGGCGACTTCCCTCCTGCCGCCACCGTCAGAGCCACTTTGATCCCGAGGCAGTCCGCTAAGTAGTTGGGGCACCATAGGCCAGTCCCGAACGAGA